TTCTGCTCCCCTCCTCTTCTCCCCTTTTCTCCTTCCCCTCCCCCTCCCCTCCCTCTCCCCTTCTTCTTTCATCCTCTCCTCTCCTTCCCATTTCTCTCCTCCTCTCTCCCTCCCCTCTCCTCTTCCCTTCTGCTCCTCTGCTCTTCTCTCCCTCCTCCCCTCTCCTCTTTTCCCTTCCTCCTCCCCTCCCCTCCCCCAGATGCCCCTTTCTCCTGCCAGGTCCCACCCTCAGCAGAGGATCTTGCTCAGAGCCCAGTTTACTGACCTGGGTTTCCTTCTGGTTATGTGAACTTGGCTCCAAGCCGGGGACAGATCCCAGATCCTGATAACACCGTACGACAGTGTGTTCACTGTCCCTATTGTGTGTCAGAAGGCACACTATTTGCGCACTTGCTCCCTCTGGCACCCACATCAGCCAGCTTGTGTTGTGTCAGGTGGCCTTACGCAGCAGGGACGAAGGCCACATTGGGAAGGTCAGCTGGGCACCACCTGGAAGCTTTGGTAGGCTGTCTATAGGGAGACAGGAGGGGTCTTCCCCCATCTGAGACCACCCACCCTTGGGGGGAATCGGGCTGCTTTGAGTGCTATGGGCAGAATCTCCCCCCCCATTGCCCCAGATTTGTGCCACATCCAAGGAAAAGAACTTGCTGTTGAGAAAACACAAACAGGTTTGGCTCCTCCACACACACACACACACACACAGAGACACACCCATGTCGGTGATTAGGGCAATGCAGCATATTGGAGTGCTGGGAAAAGATTTAAGAGAACCCGTTTCTTTCATCGGCTTCATTTCTCTTTCTTTCTTTCTTTCTTTCTTTCTTTCTTTTTTTTTAAAAAAAACCTAACTTTATTAAGTTCCTCTAAAAGATAAAATATGAAGTCACAAAAAAGGGGAAAAGATCAAAACAGCAGGAAGAGGATGAAGGAAGGAAGGAAAGGGGGAGGGTGGAAGGGAGGGAGGGAGGAAAAAAGGAAGGAAAAAGGGAAGGAAGGAAAAAAGGATGACAGAGAGGGAGGGAGGGAGAAATGAAGGGAGGGAAGGAAGGAAGGAAGGAAGGAAGGAAGGAAAAAAGGATGAGAGAAAGGAAGGGACAGGGGGAGGGAGAGAGGGAAGAAGGAAGGAATGAGGGAGGCGAGGCAGGGAGTGAGGGAGGGAAGGAGGAAGGAAGGAAGGAAGAAAAAGGATGAGAGAGAGGGAGGGAGGGAGAGAGGAAAGAAGGAAGGAAAAAAGGAAAAGGATGAGAGAAAGGAAGGGAGAGAGGGAGGGAGAGAGAGAAGAAGGAAGGAATGAGGGAAGCGAGGAAGGGAGGCAGGGAGGAAGGAGGAAGGAAGGAAGAAAAAAGGATGAGAGAGGGAGGGAGGAAGAGAGGAAGAGAGGGAAGAAAGAAGGAATGACGGATGGGAGGAAGGGAGGGAGGGAGGGAGGAAAGAAAAAAGAATGAGAGAGGAAGGGAGAGAGGAAGGAAGAAAAAAGGAAGAAAAAAAGGAAGGGAAGGAGGGAAGGACAAAAGCAGTGTCAGGGCATAATCTTGGGATCTGCTCTCTGGAACCAAAGTGAACTTGGGATCTTCCCTCCTCAGGTGATCTCCGTCGCAGCGCCGTCAACCTGAGCCTTGCTGATGGTGCTGTTAACACCTTTGATGTAAGAGCTATTATTCCTTTCCTTTTTTTTAAAAAAAAAGAGGATTTTCTCCAGCTCTGCCAGCCATTGTCTTCCAGAAATCAGCCTCTCCAAACTCTTGCAATAAACCTATCCCCACGTCCGAGAGAAATTTTCCCTCCATTTAAAACCAAAACCCAAAAAACCCTCCAGAATTTAAAAATCAGGACTTCAAAAAGTCTGTCTGGAGGATGGCTCTGTTGAAGGGGCTCGCATACTGTATTCCCGAATTAAATTTGTCCATCCCAGCATTTGATGGTCTACGTGGGTCCAAACCAGCTCTTCGGGGGGGTTTTCAGCTGCAACTGAAGAAAACAACAACAACAACAACACTTTTTTTTCCAGGATGTGAAGTTAAAGAACGGGTTGACCCTCCCCCGTGTTTCTGGCACGTTGTTGTCGTCGTCGTCGGTTGTTGTCGTCGTCGTCGTGGTTGTGCTTT